TCAACAACAACAAGTGGTGAGTGCTGGACTTAATACCTAGTGCTTACGTTAGTTGTTGAAAAGAGAAATAGTTCCACGAGATTTAAAACTTAGTATTTGGTACTTCAAATTATGTCAAATTCGTATAAATAAGACGAGTTTGTTGAGCAGAAAACTTTCCAAGAGGAGAAGATGATTTTCCTATACAGGTCAGCTAGTATTTATGTACGAAGCTGAACATAATCAACTGATACTTGTCCAGTCGTATTGTTGTCGTTTTTCAAAACATAAGAATGTTTACTCTATCCTATGAAGTATGCTTCGAAAATGACTGTTATTATATCTAGAGGAACTAAAGTTAGTAATTAATGGTTTATAAGTTCCCATGATCCTCTGGACTTTATCGTTTCATTCTCCTCTATCCATCGACTAAACTAAGATGTCAGTCTGTAAACTGCTAAGCAAAGCTTTGTCAGACTATGAGAGACCGTATTATGTCTTTATCACTGCCAGAGAACAAAGTTACACAAGTAGAATATAATATTTCGATACGCTGTTTTATTGTATAGAATAAGTCTCAGCAGGCTACAGTTCGATCCAGTCTCTTTTAGTGGTAACACATGTGAGCCTGAAATAAAATTTTGTCCAAATATAGTAGTTTCTTAACATATATCAAGTTAATATTTTTGAAAAAGATACACTACCAATAGACTGCTTTAAATAAATATCTATTCTTCGATCTATTGCAATTATGACAGTATTCTTTGTGTCTAATAACTTTAGCGACTGGTTGTGGACGAGTAATCAATTTATCACTTACATATACCTACCTTCATCCATTTACATTGAGATACTTTACATTTACTTTGTTTAGACCAGCTTATTCTAGTTAAACTAAAGAAATAGCCTAATTCAAACCTATCTGAAGGTCCCCGTTAGTTTAGTTTAATTTAATAAATACAGGATGTTTTGATTGTTTCGTGTCGGAAACATCTTGCCATCAACTCGCTATTGGCAGATACCGAAGAGTCCAATGAATTGCATAAAGGATAATCTCCTATCGTTGAGGGTGTAGGTGTGGGTGAGATAAAGAAGATACATCCACCCGCACGTTTTGCAAATCCTATACAATTCAACGATAAGATTCTGTTTCGAGATAACCCAAGATGTAAAAAATAACTTTTGTTTTTAATAGCCTGCAATCTTTTTTCTAATCAAACTACTTATCCAGTTGGCTCTACTCCACGATCGGTAGCAGTCGTCGATGTAAATAACGACAATAAATCTGATATTATTGTTGCAAACTATGGTTCGAATACTGTCGGCGTCCTTCTCAATGCAGGCAGTGGTACCTTTCTGAACCAAACTACTTACTCAGTTGGTATTAATCCAATTTCAGTAGCAGTTGTCGACGTGAATAGTGATAATAAACCTGATATTATTGTTGCAAACGATGGTTCGAACAACGTCAGTGTTCTTTTCAACGTAGGCAATGGCACCTTTCTACGGCAAACTACTTATTCAGTTGGCAGTACCCCAGCTTCAGTAGCAGTCGTCGATGTCAATAACGACAATAAACCAGATATTGTTGTTGCAAACCAGAATTCGAACACCGTCGGTGTTCTTCTCAATGCAGGCAATGGCACCTTTCTACATCAAGCTACTTACTCAGTTGGCACTAGTCCAATTTCAGTAGCAGTCGTCGATGTCAATGGCGACAATAAACCAGATATTGTTGTTGCAAACTCTGGTTCGAACAACATCGGTGTTCTTTTCGGCGTAGGCAATGGCACCTTTCTACAGCAAGCTACTTACTCAGCTGGCACTGACCCATATCCACTAGCAATCGCTGATGTCAATGGCGACAATAAACCAGATATTGTTGTGACAAACCTTAATTCAAATACTGCGGATGTGCTTCTCAATGCAGGCAGTGGCACGTTTCCGAACCAAGCTATTTACTCAGTTGGTTCTTATCCACGATCGGTGGCAGTTATCGATGTGAATAACGACATTAAACCAGATATTATTGTTGCAAACCAGAATTCGAACACCGTCGGTGTTCTTCTCAACGCAGGCAATGGCACCTTTCTGAATCAAACTACTTATTCAGTTGACTCTAACCCATGCTCTGTAGTAGTCATCGATGTGAACAACGATGATAAACACGATATTGTTGTTGCAAACCGTGGTTCGAACGACGTCAGCGTTCTTTTACATTGTTAAGACTTATTGACGAACTAAACTATTTATTCATTGACAGTTTACTAATCTATTGAAAACATTACTTTTATTAAATATAATATGATGCGAACTATCATTTATCTTCACTTCATATTAGGAATTTCAACAAAACTTCACGACTATTTCTTATTCAATGACATCATTCTTAATCATTAACTTTTAGAACGCATACAAATAAATATATTGTCTTAACCGAAACTACGAAATATTCATTTTGAGTCTGTAAAACAATATGAAAAACTTTTATTGTTTTAATATATTTCACTAATCTATCGATAATAATGTTTGCAGTTATGAGCGACAAATAAAATCTGACTTTGAAAATAAATAAGCTGCTGCTAATTAAAAGAGAGAAAAGTAGAATGTAAGTGTGAATATAGATTAAGACAAAACTAATTCACATATACACTTCTGCCACATTCGAATTCTATTTAATTAAAGTTAAATATTTCTGTGAGAATAAAGTATTCAAAATGGAATGATTTCTCTAATTGCTTAGTAAATTTATAAGAATCGCGACTAATGTTTAACTGAAACTGAGTTATTAGTCAAAGAAGAAGAAAAAGAGAAACGAAGAAGGCTTGCGTTAATTACGTTGAATATTTTTTTTTTTTGAATAGAAACTTTAGGTATCGAATAATCTGAAGATATAATCAAACAATAAAACTTGAAATTATTTAATCATTAAATCTTGAGGGTAGGTGTACGTGCGAGAGAAGGAGGGACCAACACGCACACTCAATTCTCCGATTGTGATATGATTTTATGGCGATACGTTGCTATTGTATGTTTGAAATTAAACTTGTTGAAAAGGATTTTATTTTGTCAAATATTATCAATCATCCTTAGATGGTATCGATTTAGCTTTTCATTTATGGAAATATTGTTTTTAAAACAAAGAAAATTAATGTAAAAATAAATAATGTATGTTGACATGCTGCGGAACCACTTAACTCGCTACATGACTGATCGATACTGTGTTTCAGCTCTTTTTTATTGCATGGTTCAACTTGGAGATCTTTATAATTCAAGTTAGCAGGTAAAGTATTGAATTCGAATTGACCTTGTCGATCGAAAAGAGTATATCGATTAGCTTTATTGTAGAATTCTTGCAATCGAGCAACTGATTCAGGTGTCCATGTAAAGTTAAGAAGCCATTGTTGCAATTGCATATTATCTATTGGCCTATTCAAATGAGAAAAAGAATGCTAAGATTTGAAATTCTATAAAACAAAACTGACGAGGGTGCATTCATGAAAGTTTGCCATTCCTTCTCATCAATAGCTATCATGCATGCGGACAAACCATCGACGGCAGGATAATAAGAAAATGTATGAGAACACATTTCATCCGTTGTTCGCTGTCCACCCTATAATGACAAAGTATGATTTAAAATTTGTATAATTCTACGTCATGATTTTACCAATGTGATCTCATTCTTGTTTGTTGTACTGTATACACAACGAGTAGCAAATGAGTCTCCCTAAATTTTTTATAACATTTGAGAAATGTGTCTAATTTATTTTCTTACTGGGTAGATTTTGATCGGTTTTGACAGTCGATTTTCGAATTGATAATTGAAATCGTAGGCCTCGGCATTGAATAAATATTGAACAGCTGTGTTGTTGCGAATTAATTTAGTCCATACACTAACACCTATATAGAAATCAATAGATTCCAGTATTATCATTGTTATATAAATCATTTACCTTGCAAATGAGTATGTGGCAAAGCGGACAGAACATTGATACCAGAACTAGGAAAATTCTATTTGACAAAGAAGAACATGAGAATAGTGTAAAGTCTTGTGAAGGTAAAACAATATACATACACGAGTTGCTTCAGGTGGACAGTAGGAGTCAACAATGAATTGTTTGGTTTTAGGTGGAATAGCAAGTGCTGCCGCTCTAGATAGAGTTCCAAAAACAAGATAACCAAGATCATGTTGTCGAAGTTCATCACCAAGGTAAAATCGAACGCCTGAGCTATCTCGAAGATCTGAGAGAGAATAAAACAGTCAATGTCATTCTACACTATGCAACATACAGGTAGAACTATAAAATCTGCCAAAATTTTTAAAGGGTTCCTCCACGGCTACTTTTTTTGCTCGGCATTTGCGTATAGACTGCAAGAACAATACTAAAGCGTGACCTATCAATTCTGCTAACTAGAGCTGAGCAAGCTCTATTGCATATCTTGTTTTAATTTTATTTTTGGAATAGGATCTCGATTAGCAAGGCTTATGGATATATTTCGTTGAGCAGGACATTCACAATAGAAGCAAAAGAATTGAGGATGGGTATGGGTATGAATGTGAATGTGGATATATCCTAGTATACTCACAACCATATCTACACCCACATCCCTTCTTTCCGTTGTTCGCGTGTATATAGACAGATAGAACCTGAACCTCTGCACAGGCATGATCATCCTACTTGGGATTAATTGTGGATTATCATAGTGCATTTTAATCATGAAATACTTATCGCCGACATCATTGCTGACAGGATAACCGGCCTCTTTGGTATATTCTGTAATCTATTTAAAGTTAAAAGCATTCGATTATTGATTTTTATAATTGTTTTTCTCTTACTAGATCACCACCGATTGCCCAAGCCGTAGCTAATTTTGACGAACACATCCTCATTTTAGTCAAAAGATCATCGCATATGCCATCAGGTAGTTGGGTATCATTAAATATATCTTCTGGACCACATTCGAATAGGTCAAGATGATGTACAAGATTTACATTTCTTGAATCAATCAATATTTTACGCTGAGAGAGGAATGATGAAATACAAAAATATCTGTAATATAATCATGAAATAAGTAGAACATACAGCTATTGCATGTCTTTTCTTGGTGAATCTACTTGGGCTCTTGAATATTTTGCAATAATATGTAGTATCTGTCGATGGAACGGCATGCTAAAGAAAGAGAAGAGGAATAAGAAGAGAATGAACTAAAATACAATCACGCACATTATCGAAGCGCAAATCGAAGAAATCATTTTTAGCAAACATATCATCTGTTGGTGGATCGGTATACGATAGAAGTGGTAGCATACGAGTACCTCTTCGATCCTCATGATACGTCATATCGACATTTGAATGACATAAATCCAGATCGACAAGACCATAGGCAAATATAACAATATTCGTGCCTGACTATTTGATAAAATAAAATATTTTCATTAGTTTAGTAACGGAATCAACATTCATACTCTTATAGGAACATCCATTGGATCACAAGTATCAAAGCTACGCTTGAATTGTAAAGCTGTCCATCCATTTTGTTCTTGACCTTTCAGAGCAATCCAATCTTGAGTTGTATTGTCCATATCTGGTTTTATTTTATCGCGTGCAAATCGATCCTAATAAAGCACAAGATAGATTAGTATATAGAAGTTTTCTCTCATACCTGAATATAGACTTTACCAGAAGAGTCAACCCACCCAACTGCTATATCAGCGCCTTTCATGCCCCCACCTAAACGCCATGTAAAAAAATCAAAACTAGAAAAAAAATCATCTATTTGATTTCCTACCTGGACTAATGCCAAAAGCAATCCATCCGACAGTTTTAACGTGTAATTCAAATGTGACCGTTTCTTCAGTATTATTCACTGTCCACCAAAGTTCAACTGTATTTGCTTGAAGCTCTGCTGAATGATCATAATTAGTAAATGGTCGAAGAGGACTCGAAATTCCCATACATATCTCAATCACAATCGATGATATGTACAACCAGAAAGTAATCAAAATTTTCATGATCTACACTTAGAATTGAAATAGAAGTTGTTTTTAATGAAGACACTATCCAATCGTAGTTCTATTAATACTGCCTTCAAATTCTTCTCCTGATAAGAAAATCAACTTAACCTTATCTCTTTCACTTAATATTTTATTATCATTTCATAAGCCATGCACATACATATTCAAAATCGGCTAATTTCAACATTTACTTTGACATTTCTTATATAGAGCACGTTAGAGTTAATCTTTCTATTGTCATATTTGTTCTTCATAAACAATATGCGTTCTTAGCAAAGTAACTATGATTATTGCTTTATACTGCGATTGATCAAGTATGGGTGTGAACAACGAACACGAGATAATTTTAATCACTTCGAAATCAATTATGATTTGATTTTCGTGCGTAATAAATAAAACAATTTAAGGCAATTTTCATCGATTATAATCTTGAGTGTGTGGATTCAAGTTATCTCTTCATCCTTAATCACATACCCACCCCTTGCTCGAGGTCCTTCGTCTTTTATTGTCTATCTATACGATGATTCATGTCGCTTTTTTTCTCATAAGACCATAAAATACATTATTATACGAAAAAAACGATAAATAAACAATAATATCATTATAATTGTCTTCTTTATGAGTTTTATCGAGATTTTGCAAGAAAAAAAATCAATATTCATATTCTATGATAAGAGGTCGCCTTTCTTTTTTTCATTGGATTACTTAAATATTGTTCAAGACTCGTTAATTAGATAAAGAATAAAATGAACTGAATCGAGTGTGCAGATATAATCTTTTACATTTTTACGCGAATTGAAAAGATTTTTTGTTACACAGTTTTACTTACTTTGATTTATTTGTCTAAACTCTATTTTCATTTTATCCATAAACATTTGTTTTTTATACGTTACATGATTTTTAAAATTCTGTCATTGCTAGAATAGCAATTCAAATGTATTTAATCATTTTATGTTGCACCTCGCGGTTTTGTAGGTGTAATTCTTTTTATGTGAAAATGTCTCAGTATAACTTGATTTTGTTGAACATGTGTGATGCAAAATAGTGAAAGGTGATTTCTCCTGTTAAAATGATTCAAATAAATTCTTACTGAAAGATAAAAACGAGAATTACCATTCATTTTTTTCTGTTTATGTTTAGAAACAATTATATATTCTTTATCAAGATAAAGACCTGATATTCATTTTGTAAAAAAAAAGTTTTTATCTGAATTCTTTATCATTAGGTATGACAAACAAAAAAGTCAGCAACATAATAACAATATTGAAACAAACTTTTAGATTAACCTTCTATGTAAAATATTTTAGTTGATTTTACACGGAAATGTTTTTCTTCCGTTTTATGCGGCAAATATATTGAAACAGTTTCAAAATAAATATGAGATAATCTATTTATTCTCATACAAGGAAACCTATAAAAGAATGAAATACAATTCTTGGATTAATTTTAGTTAATACAAAATATTTATTTTCGACTCATGGCGGAAGTCACAAATGAAGCATCAAATTCTTTAAGAACGAGAATGTATGTTATATTTTGTTATTTTACAAGCCGAAAAACAATTGAATTTTTTTTAGAGGCAACATAATTGGAAGAAAACGGTTATTGTGGATTAGTATAGCTATTATTGTCGGTATAGTTATCATTGCAGCAGTTGTTATTCCAACAACTATTATTTTGACAAAAAAGGAAACTATTATAATATCATCAACAACAACAACAACGACGACAAGTACAACTACAGCAATAACTACAACAATTACAGCAACAATGATGACGACAACAGAAATAATAATGGCAACAAACGAACCAGATTTCAGATGTAAGTAAATATTATTAACTAGACCTATGCAGCTTTCTCATAGGAAGTTTAGTTTTAAGTTTCAATTTCATATTTAATGTATTAGCATTACGAAATAGCACACGCATGATCATAATAGAATATCTCCAGATTAATTAAAATAAAAAATCAATTCAAATTTAAAAAAATATAGTTATCCATTATCAAATATGTCACTCGACTTTTTAGATTGGTCACGTACGATGAACATGATTTATTCACGGTATTATCATGCAGCATCTGTATTGCAAAGTGGAAAAGTATTAGTTACTGGTGGTTATCATAACTATGATGAACAAAATACTGCTGAAGTATATGATATATCAACAGAAACTTGGACATTATTAACTAATTCTATGAAGGATCGACGAATTTCACATACATCAACTGTATTGTCTGATGGAAAAGTGCTAGTTACTGGCGGATATGACGATAGCAAGTATCTAAACAGTGCAGAGTTATATGATCCAACAACACAAACGTGGAATATTACTAGTAGTTTGAAAATTAAAAGACGAGAACATAGTGCATCTTTATTAAACAACGGGATGGTATTGGTTATTGGTGGGATAGATGATACTTCTAATGAACTTAATAGTGCTGAAATATATGATCCAACGACTGAAACATGGACATTAACTCATAGTATGAAATATGCACGAACACACCATCAAGTATCTAAATTAGAGAACGGAAAATTGTTAGTGACTGGCGGAGTCGGTGACGATATGTTTCACGATAGTGCTGAATTATATGATCCATTCACAAAACTATGGACGACCACAGGCAAGATGCATCATCCACGGTGGTTGCATACGGCAACTCTTCTACGAAATGGAAAAGTGTTAGTGACTGGTGGAAAAAATGACACGATCTTTTTAAATTCTGCTGAATTATATGATCCATTAGTAGGCAAATGGACAGTTACTGGAAGTTTAATGTATCCAAGAGATTCTCATTCAGCAATCTTATTAGCAAATGAAAAAGTGTTAGTTATTGGCGGGAGAACCGTGGAATACGTTCACCTACGCTATTCGGAATTGTATAATCCATTAACGGAAACATGGTCTACTGCTGGTAATCTAAATTGTCGTCGTGGTCGACACGTTGTATCTGAATTATTAAATGGAACAGTGTTAGTTACTGGTAAAGAAGAAGATGAATCTGATAAATGTACTGCAGAACTATATTAATTATTCTATAGATGGTATATTGATATGATCGCTTTATCTACACTTTTACTCACTCTCAACATTTAACCTGTAGAAAATCTATTTAAATGACAGTCTCATAAAATACTATTCATATAAATATTATAATTCAATTTTTAGCTTGCTTTTAAAATAAATGTCGTTCGTATTGCCTCTATAGATCTTGAAGTTTTTGCTCAATTTGAATTCTTCGTTCATCAGCTATCAGATACACTGTGTGATAGAGTATGACTGCTTATTATTCAGAGATAAGAGAAAATGATGACATTCAAAAACTTGTAAACGCAGTTTCTAATGTCTTATTTCTTTTCTTGTTACTGGAAATAGTTGGTACCGCTAATTTTTGATCAACTGGCGACGAATGATTTCTTATTTTTAATGTTGCAAATGTCTTCTTTTCTTTTCGGTTCGAAATCAATGTGTCCTTTTCAATTCCAAAATATCGTCTAATTCTTTTGATCTGTAGTTGAAATTCATTGTAATACAATGTCGAAGGATAAACATAAATAAGAAAAGTTAACGTTTGAGGAAGATAAATAATTAAATTTGCACTTGTATTCAAACGTAATAACCATTTTTCTCTCAAATCAATGCAAGAATAGTTCAATGATAGTATCAATTGTGGTAACATACAGACCTAGAACGAACGAAAATGAAGTGCTCTATATATAATAAAAAGATATACTTACAATCGACAATGTTGGTGCAATAAACAGATCTCGATGTCGTTTCAATTGTTTCTTACACATTTGATAAAAAGTGAAACTATTTGTTTCACTCTGAAGATGTAGTTTCCGACTAACAACAGTTCTAATAATAAAACTGTTTGCCAGTAAATTGAGAAAGAATGGAAATAATAAATGAAGAAACGCTAAAACTGTGTTCAATATATTGAGACTAGGAGTGTAAAGTATTTCACAAATCCATTTTCCAGGTGCAATTGGATCTGGAAGGCTAACACGACTATAGAATTCATGAATGTGCATGATTACTATTACTAAAGACAATGCAAATATTTGACAAATAGATGATCGACGTGTGCCCGATACTCTTTTTCCTATGCCCTTCGCTTCCAATGAACGTTGTAAAGCAATCAATCCAGTCATCCACACACACTGACGTGTCAAGACGCTTGCTAGACCTGAAACAACATTACAAATGAAGACAAACGAAGTATACGAGAGCCAATCAATAAATTGAATTAAACGAAATTGCAACATTAACATTCCAATTGGACTATAAATTGAATAACAGATTATATAAATGCCAGTAGGTGTTTGACGAAGTTTTTGACGAATAAAAGTAAGAATAGTTAACATATTCGAGATAAATGATATGAAGACAAGAAATGTAACACAAAAAGCATAACCAAATTCCATCTTACTCTGTTCATTAGTAGGCGATAAACGAATATCGGTCATCATACTTGAAGCAAGACCAAGAACGAAGATGCTCGTTGATTTATTACATTCAACCATTTTTATTTAGAAAATGAGTATAATAAATCTGATGTTGTTTAGAATATATTTATATATAGATGCATCTCGTTAAAAAATTAATCATCGCATGCTCTGTCATTCTAATCGTAAGCCGGAAAATGTAAAAAAAAAACTTTGGTAATTATCTTTATTGATGGAAAAAAAATTCATCTAAAGAGATTTATTTTACTGATGTGTTCTTTCATCTTTTTTTATTTAATTTGACAAGTAGCGTGTTAGTTTGACAATGACTGTATTAAATTGAAGTGGTCGATTCGAATCTAATCTCATCATCATTATTTTACATTGGTAACAAATTTTAAAACTATCATTGTTG